GAACAAAAGGGCCAAGAGTACTACGAGAACTACGAACAGGGCAAACTTAAACAATTCCACATGTACAGTAGGTCACCATCTGGAGATCTGTATTAATCTGGTAACCTCACTATTCTGTCTTCTTGGATGCTGCACAGCAGAACTAGTGGAAGTTATTTTTGGAAGTAAGGTGGGGGAGGGAAGATGGTTAGAAAAGCTACAAGATATCCAAGAAGGAAAACACATGAGAACATTAAGCAGAACACACTAGCAAAAAATGTCCCTTTTTTTGCCATGTTCAGCATTTATTAGTGCAAGACCTCTTTTAGTACGAGTTTGTAAGCTTCACAGGAAGATCTATCTTCTAGAAATGGCAAGAGAATGCCAGGATCCTCCTTTCAATGGGTACTTAACAGGGTGGCTGTATCAGTACTAAGCCCACTGGGAGAAGCACATTTTGCTACATTCAACACATGTACAGTAGGTCACCATCTGGAGATCTGTATTAATCTGGTAACCTCACTATTCTGTCTTCTTGGATGCTGCACAGCAGAACTAGTGGAAGTTATTTTTGGAAGTAAGGTGGGGGAGGGAAGATGGTTAGAAAAGCTACAAGATATCAAAGAAGGAAAACACATGAGAACATTAAGCAGAACACACTAGCAAAAAATGTCCCTTTTTTTGCCATGTTCAGCATTTATTAGTGCAAGACCTCTTTTAGTACGAGTTTGTAAGCTTCACAGGAAGATCTATCTTCTAGAAATGGCAAGAGAATGCCAGGATCCTCCTTTCAATGGGTACTTAACAGGGTGGCTGTATCAGTACTAAGCCCACTGGGAGAAGCACATTTTGCTACATTCATCTACATGACAGATCAATACAGAACTACATGAAAGTTTAGAATAAAAAGTGGGAAGTGTGTACATTTAATGACCTTCAAACATTACTTCTGGTACTCTCACACTGAATGACTAGACCAAAACAGTAACTGAATTCTGACCAACACCGCTACTAGATCTGAAGTAAAATGCAAACAACTAATATGAATCCCATGGTTTCAAAGACACAAAACCTATATTAACTATAGTATAATCACTAAAATACCCAGAAGTTCTAATTCTGTAGGAGTATACATGTTTTTCAAAAGTAATATAACATATGTGCATGCGTTTACACTTACATCTGATTTTTAGCCGCTTGTCTCTGAGCTTTCCGTTCTTTCCTTTTTTGATCTGGTGGCTTAGCAAAAACAATTTCAATGCTTTCTCCCTCTAAATCTTTGCCATTCATTTCTTCCATTGCCTGAAGGAATTAACCAGATTTTAAATATACTTCTAAGAATATCTGAAGTTGTTGATTTTACTCTATCTTTTAGAAAATGCATTTTAAAATGTTATCCAGAGCTCAAATAACAATGTGAAGCTAAAAAAATTAAATTTAAATAATCAGACAGCATAGTACCATGGGTTCCAGTCATGCATTTCCTCTTAACTTGGCTCTCAAACCCAGGACTGCATGTCCATATATCTTCCACTCAAAACTGAAAATAAGCTTCAATCTTTACAAGCTGTTTCTGTTAATGAGGTGATGAAACTGTCCTATGTAAGCATAGATTTTGCAATAGGGGAATAAATTTTGAATGTCAGCACACATGCAAGCACTCCTAAAGCTAGAGATCAGTAATTTTTTTATTCTCTTATTTTATGTGTAATAAATGTAACTTTTTAAGCCAGAAGCAAAAAAATGAGAATTTAACAGTCTCTCTGACCATAAAAAAAATCACCAACCCAAAACAAACCACCACAATCCCCACCCCACAACACACACACATATGGTTCTCATGGGCCACAATTGCTACAAGTTAAATTCAAGTAGGGGAATCCTAAATATTCTACCACTTTGAAGGACTCAGCATAGGAAAACCTTGGTGGGATGCACATCCTGTGAAAAGACTCTTTCCATCATCTCTCTAAGCATCTGCTTTAAGGCATTTCGATGAGTAAGAAAAACTTAATCCCCTTGTATCCTGCATCCTCCCACAGAACATAAAAACAGAAACTACATGCAGGAGAGGAATTACACTTTCCCTTCCTGTGACAGATCACAGGAGAAAACACCAAGACCAGGCTAGCAAAATCCAGGAATGACAATTACTCAATGGTCGAGCACCTCTTCCTAAAGAAGGTGCTTATGAATTAATTACGTTCCTGGAAAATAAAAAACTAATAAGTTTTTAACCACCTGCCCCAGAGAAACTCCTTTAGATTCTACCAATAATTTGGTGAGAAGGGTCATTTATGTTCTGACACTTCAGTTTCAAATTATAACCTTAGATAATCATTAGCAGAATTAGTTAGTATAGGTGCATTTAAAATTCATTTTTTAAGCCAGCAATTGCAGAGGACAAACTTATCAATGACAATGTGTTACTATTTCCCCAGAAAGAGCTTTTTCTCAAATTAAAGTAAGTACACAGCTTCTAAAGGTTACGTTTAGTCACTACACACAAAAATACTGTTAAGTTCACTTACCTTGACAGCACCATCCCGTTCATCAAAATGAATGAAAGCATAGTCTTTTAGCTTCTTCACTCGCTCTAGCTTTCCAAATTGACTGAAGGCCTTTTCTAGTATCTCCTCTGTTACAGTATTGGCAAGATTGCGTACAAACAAAACTTTTACCTTTAGGGAAAACAAAAACAAAAAAAACAACCACCAAAAAAACCTTAGAAGTATGATCGAATTCCAAAACACAAAATGAAGTTTTGCAAGTCATTACTACTGGCAGTACTGAAAACAGCATTACATTTTATGGACAGAATTTTATATCCATATACATTAATATTTATATTAATTCAGCATGAGCTTGTTCTAAAAATTGACTGACAGAAATATTAGACGTTTTCAAATATGATTATATAAGAGTTAGTACCCTGAGAGTCAATCCAATTTGTGTAAACATTTAAAAGAATTCTAGCAGCAGTAATTTTCAACTTGGAACACTTTCAAACTTGAAAGAAAGCAATCAGGATTGGTTACACACAAAATAATTAACTTATCAAAACATTTCATTGTTTAGACAGGTTTTTGCTCAGGTATTTGCAGAGCAGTCATCACTATAATATCTAGGTCAGAGGTGACAGGCTTGTAGCTCTCAAGTTGCTTAACTTGTGGCTCCCATGCTACAGCTACACCAAATATCTAGCACCAGGACTCTGCATGACCGAGGAGAATTCAGTGACCTGAATCCACAGGTAGAAGAAAGAATGCAAGCAGAAGGAGATACTAAGGCTGACACTGCCAACTCACTCTTGGACTATGTCACAAGTCAAATTCTGTCCTTCCCTTGAGGAACTGAAAGCCTATTCCCTCCCCCAGCCAGTCTCTAAAGCACGCACTAGAGCTCTTAAGCTACACAGACTGCTATGCAGCTTGTAAGAGCAGAGTTTGGTTATTTTTCAAGACACACACTATTAACTGCCTCATAGTGACTATATCATTGATAGATAGTTTCATCAACCACCCACTGCTTACAATAAAAGAAAGCACGGAGTAGTATGACAAAAGCTTAAACTATAGACTCTTAATACAGCAGACAACATACACTGGACACGAGGAATCACATTAGTGACTCGTTAGTTTTCAAAGGCTTGCCCTTGCATCCACACTGAGGTTGCACTAAATGACTGTACATTAGAACATTTGCATGATGCCCTCCATGGGTTCTCACAATTTACAAGCCTCTCTGACTTTGCTAGGCAGAGCCCCTTCCATACACTGCCACCACAATCAGGCAATCTATTTACCTCCTACTGCCAAAGAATGCTCAGTTTTACCTTCCTACAATGCAGCTGTGCATCAGCTGCGAAGACCTGCAACTTCTGTTCACATCCCCTCTGCCACTGGTGGTTTCAAACTAGCTGATGACAAAAAGTGAACATTCTACATGGCAACACTGACTTCCCACTCCTAACCCTGAAGGTCAACACAAATAACACACAATGTGAAGGGACTAAAGAAAGAATGCCTTCATTTTTAAAGCAGAGCTATAATCTTTACTCCCACCACATACGGGAACTCAATAAACCCAGAAACCCTTTATTTAAGAATTACTATGTAATTAAGTTACAAATAAACAGGACAGACTTCCATAAATCTTTGTCTCACTCACTAGCTGAATTAGGATGCCATACAGAGTTTGGAAGACTGGATACTACAATCATAAATCTGATCCAATATATCAACTACAGTCTTTGGCAATAGTTACTCTTGCTGATTCTCAGATTACGGTAAATTATTCCCAGGTCCACAAGGAAAGCTACTTCCTACCCTGTGTTAAGTTTCTCTGACATGCCCTGATGACAAGAACCTTTATTTCTTGTAAACCGTATGTAGCAACCATTTTTAGTGAACTGTCCTAACTGCTACCTTATTCCATGAAAATTAATTACAGAAAATTTTGTAATGTAATTAATGGTTTTAAAAACCAGTAACTTTCAAACACTTTCTAGCATTTTATGAAAGAAAAAAAAAAACCCCAACAAACACAAACCTAGAATCTCGTAAGGAACTCTAGGCAACCTTCACTAATAAATCCATAATGACTGACATGTCAGACAATATTAAAAACCTAAAAAATAACCATTCTTTGGTTACAAGATACATTAACACAGCAGTTTTTTTAAGAAGCAAAAAAGCAACCAATTGAAATTTTTTCCACTGTAGACAAGTCTGAAACTTTTTAATATCATTGGTCATGTTACAGGTTAAGTGTGGCTGAACCAGTCAAAGAGTAAGTCAGAACTAGGAGCCAAGTTAAAGCCAAGGCTGAGAGAAGATTAACCCATTTTTATTTAATTTAAGCTATCTAAAGAGATAAAGGAAATATTAAATAAAGCCCTCTTCATTAAGGCTCATAGATTATACCAAAGATCCACAAATACACACCTAACAAGCAATATACCCAGCAGCTGCATTGTTATAAAGACAGAACTGACTTTCAAAACTGCTCAGGATTCGACTGCCCTCTAATCTTTTGGGATCTGCTCCTTTTCTCTCTCTCACCTACAGCACTAGCACTCCAGACTTCATTACCTCATTCTCCAAGGATTACTAGCTCTGCCTCCTATCCTGTAACCTACCAGGCAGCCACAAGCATAAGACTTTATTTAGCTGCTTAACCCGCCACTCCACAATGCCTTCTGCAGCCTCAGCCATGGTACAGAAATAAAGTAAAATATTAAGAAATGTATCTGCACTACAGGTATAACGGGATCAAAATAACACTAGAGAAATTAAGCTACCAACACAGCTACTGGAAGCTGCAAAAAAGTTCACTTTGGTCCAGAAATCAATTAACTTAACCTATTATACACTAATCTGTCAGAACAAGAACTGATCTGTAGCAATGTCTAGCTTCAGAATCTCGCCTTTTTATTTCATCACAATGAAGGTATTTCATATTTAAGATAACAGGATGCATCCATACAGTACTTTCTGCAACATTTAAGCAAAAGTCTGGAGGAGAAAGGAAAGAAGGCTTGAGTAAACATTTTAGAAATTTAAATTAGTAGGTGGCCATATATGAATGAAATGACATGCTGCTTCTGCAAGATATTAAGAACAATGCTGTTCACCTTCTGGCTACAAAGGTGAATTTGTCTTCCCTATAGTTTGCTCTCATGGACTTGCTTTTCTAGAAGTCTCAACAAAAAAAATGCTGAATTCTGATAACTTACTCTGCCTACTCAGTGTTTCCTCCAGTGTTTCTGATTCCTTTTACCACAGGAATTTGTAAGATTACAGGAGTCAAAAGCTCTCCCTTTGCTCCTGACGGTTCTCAGAAACAAAGACAGCCACCTGCAGCTCACATCTGGGACGCTACTGAGTGCAACAGCAGCTCAGCTACTCTCTTAGGAGAAAGAGTGTAATAAACAACAAAGCAAACCTAACACTTGTGCCAGACATGGCCAGAATTTCTCCAAACGTACAGTAAGGGGGTAAGAGTGGAGTAGAGACTTTCCCTGTTGCAAGAATAAACCAAGAGATGCAGCCAGTGAGAAAAGTGAGACACCAACGCTTGCATCAGCCTCTGCCTTCAGACACAAGGTAGGTGTGCCCTACTTTTTCAGTATTCTCATTCACATAGTCTCACTCTTCCATGTCTTCAACCCAATCTCCATGCCTATCTCTAGCATATAGCACTAGAAGTTTACAAGTTGATTTTTCTGCACCTTTTCTGTTTTTATGTTTCTTCCCTCCTTGGGCCCCATTTCAAATACAAAACAATATATGGCAGTAGCATATTCAAACATATATTAAATGGGGCAAACCACAAAGTTTTTTCTTTAGCCTTTTACTCCACACTTCTGTAAACTTACTTAGGAAAGATAACCTGATTACGTCCCCTATCACTTACTGCTCATGTATCTCAGATGTTTCTGCTCATTTATCTTAACAGTTTGCTGGATTAGGTCTCATCTCTTTTGAGCCAGGAAGCTGAAGAGATAAATAGGCCACCATATTTATTAAGTGCCACCTTCGACAAATTTCACCTGCAAGACTATTCCCTACTGCTGGCAGTTTATGATGACAGGCAGGAAAAATAAAGCCTGCAGATGGGGCAGTCCAAAAGCTTCTGTAATACCTGTATTACAAAAGCAGCTTTTTCCCTAAATTAAGCCCCCACCCCAACCCTTTTCCCTTATGGCTCACCAAAGAGGAGATCCCAGCCAAGCTATCTTACTAGGTCCACCAAAGTAGGACTCCAGCAAGTGACGTGTCTCAGATGAGAGTAAAAGCACAGACAAAAAAGCAAGCAAAGAGAAAGAGATAAGGATATGGACTAGCTAGGAATTTCCATTAAACAACTCAGCTACACAACATAAGTGAAAAAGACAGGGTCGGGCATTATCTGATGGAAAAAAAAAAAATCAGGTCATTAATTTCTGGCAAAATATCACACATGTATAGAGAACAGCTACAACGTACTTAAAAATGTTACAGTCCAGACTTCAGTTTCACTGAAATATTAAAAAATCCAAAAATATTACCAGAATTAATTCCTCTCAAATTAAAAAAAAAATAAAATATAAGAGTTCCAAATATAAAGCAATTGCCAGGGTTCTCAAAAGTAACTGCTAACGGCAACTTTGAAAACATGTTCCAATTTTGAAGTCCTAAACAAAGTTCCAGAGTTAAAAAGAATTAAGGCTTCCTCTGCGACCGTATCTAGTTTTCAGTCCTTCCAAATATTAAGCTACAAAACAATGTTAACTTTTTAAGTCACCACCATCAAATCCAGATGAGAAATTAAGAGCATCAGGCCTACGTGTCATTTTGGCAAGAATTACACTAAACATTCAGCCCTGGGAGCACAAAATAATGTAAGTCAATAGAGTTTTCAAATTCACATCAACTCTAGTGTATGTGTATTTTTATCGTCTCACCTACATCTCTGTCAAGGAGGCTGAAAGATGCTACTTAAACTTGGGTTAATGTCAGGAAGTACTTACTTTGGGACAAGGCACTTTTAATTATATTATGGTTCCCTTATAGCTTTATTACCTTTGCCATGACTTCAGGATCTGGGTCTTCTATAGGATCAGCCCATTCAACTGTAACAACATTTCCCCAAACTTTCACTTTGCCACTCATTAACCTACGTCTGGCTTGAGCAGCAGTTTTGTGATCTTCATATTCAAGGAAACAAAAACCCCGGTTCTTTTTCTTGTCATCAGGCTGATGATACAATATGACATCTGTAAGTCCCTCTGAAATTAAGCAAAATATTTATTTGTTACAGCTTCAATCAATTAATTCCTATTATAAAGCAGGGATTATCTTTCTGGTAAGTATGCATCTAACAAGTGGTTCCAAAAAACCAAGAACACACTAGACTTTTGAGACAATGTACATATTAGAATTTCCTTACCTACAAGAACAACGTTTTCAAACACAGTCATTAGACTATCCTAACTTAGGTTCCACTTTTAAGTGAGAAGAGCTTAGTAGCTATGGAAGAGTATCTTCCTTTTCAGTGAATGAAGAAGAGATAGGGCAGACAAAAGTTGTGCTTTGTCAGTTCTCTCAAACACATAAATCACACCACTTATCAGCATGTGTTTTTTTCTATGGATGTCTAAACAAGAGATCAAACTTGCACAATTTTAAGACATCTAAAAATTTCCAGTGTTGCTCTGAAGAATTTGAACTATACTCTTCAGTAACAGAGAAAGCCATTGAATGTTACTGTTGCCAGATTATACATCATTCCTAAAAAGAGATGCTCATGAAATCACAAAGAATTCTGAAGCACAGAACTAGATATTTTCTCCAACCTGCTTCAACTTCGCTATGCAAAGTTTTAAAACATCCACTAGTATTGAAATAATTAAAACTTCTATTTCTTTGAATAGCTTTTTAAAAATTACATGCTTACTCTCTAGGTAAAACTAAAACCACGCACCTAGTCTAATCACAAATACTTGAGCCCCCAGCACATCATCATCTAAGAAACCCAAAAACAACCAAAACACCTAAAAGTAGGGAACACTAATCATGTTTGACACTTCTCCAGCTCTACAAAACAAGAGTTACTCCCTTACCTGTTACTTTGCTAAATTCTTCAACAATTTGCTCCTTGGTTTTACTCTTAGGAATAGAACCAACAAAAAGCCTATTATTGGCAACAGAGATGCACACACCAATGTGTTTTCCAGAACGAATTTCATGGTTGTTGTACTGAAAGAAAAATAATTGGACAATCATCAGTTACAGACAATTTTCACTCCTCTCCAACAGCAGCATACCAAGTATTTTACTTTTGCCAACATAGCATTTAGTAACCCATTAAATTCTTGGAACTTTACATGTTCTTATGATGTATATTCAACTGTCCTGAAGTATAACTGTGTTTCTCTAATATATATCCACAATTCCTTCCCTTCTTGTTCAAGACTCTTTCTTAATACATGTTTCTTTAGACTTTTTCATGTAGAATCATGAAAGGTAAATCTCATGTCCAAGTCATCAAGGTCAAGGCACTCCGCAACAGTGCAGAAACAAATGCAAGTTCCTCTACAGATTGCACTTAAGACTTCTTGAATTGTGTATAATACAAAACAGGATTTACAATTAACGTCAGATTTCCTTTTATACTTCCATAGTTAAGAAAAGAAAGAGAGCCGTGATCAGGTCTTCTCCACAAAATGTGCAAGAGCAATTGGCAAATATTTTCCAAAGCACACAGATTACACATATAAAGATAGTAAACAGCAAGAACAACCTTCTACTGACTTGAAATCCTAAGACTTCTGTTCAAATGCTTCTCCCGTAACAGATTGTTTAGAAGACACCCTGAGCAAGTCAGCAGTTTAAGGAAAAAAAAAGAAGTATTACTGTAGACATCTGTTGACAAAAAATGCCTTTCATTGAGATGCAGACAGAGACATGCATCATCCAAATAAGCAGCAGGGAGGTCAACTGGTGGTACATCAACCCCTTTCCAACTGGAAGTCCTGCAACAGACAGGTCTTTAGCGAGGAAAATGTATTTTGTAGTCAACATCTTACTGACAAGTAGTTGGACAGCTTCCTAAAGTTTTATCTAGCTATTTATTCTACAAGTTATTTTGCGTCTGGTGATAAACCTTCCTGCAGCAGCAAGTTCTCTCACAAGCTCTTCTTGCTTTGTGCACTAAAATCAGGATGAAGATGTTTGTTTCTTTATATTTATCTCAGGATACCAAAAACTACATCACTGAAAATTTTCAAAGCTAGCCAACTGCATGAGAAGGAGAACTGTACATGTGAAAATTATCTGGAGTGGCACCTTCCCAAGTAATCATGTCTCAAAACAGGACTTTCACTGTTATGTAAAAGACTTCTATTGACATATCTTTTGCCCTTGTGGCAGAGGAACAGTTGACTTTAAAGTAGGAAACAGCTTCATAGGAAGACTGTATGTATATATGATAATCAATAAACAGACTTCCACATAGTAATGAAGAGAGTTTACACCACCTTAAAAAAAAATCCTTTAAACACCTTTTTAAAAAGCTGACAGTTTATTATTCTGGTACTAAGACACAAACTGATTCTTCATTAACTGAAGTATACATTAGGTAGCATTTCTTTACATTAGAAAGCATTTTTTTACTGAGGATGGTCAAACAGTGGAACAGGCTTGCTAGAGAGGGGGTGGATGCCCCAAGCCTGTCAAGTGTTTCAGACACATTTAGACAATGTCCTTAAAATGCTTTAACTTTCGGTCAGCCCTGAACTGGTCAGTCATTTGAACAAGATGATCACTGCAGGTCCCTTCCAACTGAAACATTCTATTCTATATGAATAATACAAGATACCATCCGACCGTTTCTAATAGTCTAAGACCAAAGTTTGCCTACACATTTAATCCAAGAAGAGCTGCTCATACAACTCAGAGCAACAAAATAAAAATTGGTAACTTAAATTTTAAATGTTTTACCATATTGCAATTCCAAATTGACAGTAGCTTCCCATAGGTTTTTCATACTACAACACATTAACTACTACTTTTTATTGTATGTTTATCTTAACACAGAGAAAACAGTCTTGAATTAGGTGCTCTTGAATACAAAGTTAGTGAGGTTTAGGCAAACAGTTTGCATGTGATCTGTAAACTTATACATGAACAGACCAAAATTGTGATGTGGGTGTCATGCCCAAACAGTCAGGCTGCCAAATCAGCTATGTCAGCATACTGCTTCTCCTCCTGTCACCACTGAATCAATGCCTGAAGTTAGTAACAGAAATATCACTACCCTCGAGACACTAAAATATACAGGGTTTGTTTTTTTGCTAAATTGTGTAAGAACCTACTCACTAACAGGTCAAAATACATCTCCTTATTTTATCCACTTAATACTTTCACCAACAATTTTAGTTCATTTCCAGCAGCAAGTGACAAGTTGTGCTGCTATGCAGAACTGGCAAACTGCTTAAGGGGCATATTTGCATACCACACCTGTACCTGCACTTTCATCAAGCTTACACTTGCTCTAATAAAAAATACACTGTAAGCTACTATAGGTTTTCACCTCACAAATATTCATCCTGTACAAGTCTACAATAACCTTAATCATTTGGAAATCATTTGAAAAACTGAAATCTAACAGCTTCCTATGAAAAATAAGGGAAAATTGAGTATGTGTGCAAAAGAACACATGGGGAGTTTTAATTTTTAAACAGTATAAAACAGAAGGTAAATGCAAATATGTTAACAGAGAAAAAAATGCTTGATGTTAAAAAAAATAAGATGAAAGATTGTCAGTGCTTCTATGAACATTTGAGATGCCATTTCTATTTAACCAGCAAGGGTTAACCACACTGGATTAAGTACTGAACATAAAATTACCTACTGTTCAAATCTTTCTCAGTATCAGGCCATAGCTTTTCTGAAGCACAGCCCCAAAAGGATTTCAAACACCAGTTAGGGAATTCTCCCCTTTTTAAGTGGCTTAAAAATGCATATGCATAAACAAAGTCAGGCTTCAAGCTTTTAAATTACTGTATTTCTCCCAGTTAATTAATAGGGTAAGTCAACATTAAGTTTATTTTAAAAATGAGTTTGTTTTTACATTAAGTTGTTACAGATTGTGGATGAAACACCAGCAACACAAATGTTAACTGTATACAAAATATGTTACACCAACTGCAAGAGCTTGAAGACAGGTCAGTTTATTTTCTGCTGCACTATAGGTACTGACAAAACCTCATAGCTGTCCCTTATTACTCAGAAGCCTACAAGCAATGCAGAGATCTATTCTTATTTTGCTAAACTTCAGAGTCCTGAATGGAAAAAAAACATGAAGCTTCTGGGAAGAAAATGGGAAATCGCAAAAGAACCCCTATCCCATAACGACCAAAAAGCTAGGAAATAAGTTTCACACACATCAGAATATTACAGGTAGTAACAGAAAGAACACCACCTGTTAAAATACTAGGATATTAAAATGGTTATGACCAAGTGGTTAGCATTGCTCCAAGGTCTTTCAGCAGCCTCTCTCCCATGAATGTGTAACCAACACAGGTGACAAATTTTCAACTGAGCTCAATGGCCAAATTTTGCTAATACCCCTGCACATCCCTCCTAGGCAACCTGTGAAACTTAATACAACTAGCCAGCCAACTACGGTGGGAACTATTCAAAAGCTGACAAATGCCACAGGATACAATTTAAAACTAGCCCTGCTCTAAAGAGGTTAGCACAAAGGTTGAAAAACTGCCCCATCAATCATAACACTTTCCAACTATTACACTCAGTGGCTACTTAACTGAAAAACAGATCACAAAGTGTTTTTTTTTCTGCATACTGAAGCTAAGCTATAAAGGGACACCAAGTACCTCCTTCCTTTGTATCACTTCGTGGAAGACTGAGGCTAGGATCTGATGTTAATTTTACGGAAACACAGCCTGAATGACTTCTCAGAATGTGCTGCCTAAGTGAAGAAAAATTCCTCTGTGTTTGTTTACTAGGTGCCTCCTGACGATGTATTTGATCTGATTCGCTGTTTTGCTAAGTCATGTGCATACTTCTTAAGAGTTCACACACAATATAAATAGGTAGGCTGACAATGAAAGTACAAAGAGGTGTATGAAGTTATCCTCATATTTGATTGAACACAGGAACACCAACCTTTCTCACTTAAATATCTAGGATATGCTGTCATGTTTCTTTGTACTTCCACTTTTGTAGATACTTTTGTACTTTTTCAAAACACACTGCCACCTTCAGCTTTATTTGTCTGCATCAACTCAAACTGTTAACAAATCAATAGGGTACTTCAGTGGTTTAACACGTACCTTATGACAACAGAGATTTTAGCCCTAGTATATTAGTACACCTCAAACAGTTAGCTAACAGTTAGTTAGTTCCTGAAGGTTAGAACTGCACGATGATCTTGGCCAAATCAATGTAGTAACTAGCTTCTAAAATTCAAATTCAACTAAACTGGGAAAATAAAGGAGCAGTGTGAGGATCGGGGTGGCACTTCTTTCCCCTCCTCTTTTTTAAGTGATGGATACTTCATGCACAAAATGTGGAAAGTCTATTAAGAGTACCTACTCCTTATATCAAACTATTGACACCACTGTGTAAAACAGAGGAAATGCTTTTTAACCTGGCAGGGTTTATAACTTTTTCCAGTCAGTTGCAGCAAACGGAACAGAACGTGAACACTTAAAGAATTATTATTTCCAATCTGAAGTGTCTTATGAAACTGTGACTTCAGGAACATTTTTTCCAGTGTGGGGCCCCCTGCTGGTGCATGAGCAAATCAGAAATCACAGCCAACCTGACTAGACCTCCCCGCATCCCACAAACACCCACGCACCACTTCTCCCCAAAACTCAGCCAGATGCTGACAGCTCAGAAGTCATTATTGACAATACAGCTTTTGTTAATAATAAAGGCTCAACTAACTCGACCCAAAAGCAGCCCATCAACTTTTCTCTTCCTGTCCCTAATACAATGTGGAGATGTTTGGAAAAAAAAAACACAACAAAACACCTAGTGGACATATATGAAATGCCCGCTGACATTTCAACTGACACAGTTTCATCTTAAGCATTCAAGCATTAGGATCAGGAAAACTACTTATAATCCAAAGAGCGTTCTTAAGAAAATAAAAATAAGAAAGTAAGAAAACTTACCAATTTAACAGCTTCCTGAGCTGCCTCTTTAGTACAAAAAGTGACAAAAGCATATCCTCTATTTAGACCAGTTAGTGGATCCATCATTAAGCGGAGATCCCATATAGGGCCAGCTTTCTCAAATAATGGAACGAGTTCATCTTCAAACAAGTCTCTAGGAATCTTGCCCACAAATATCTACAACAGACATACAGAGTGGTGTTTATTAAAAAATACTTCCAATGAATAAATACATCTACATAAACATCTCCTCCTCCGTACCTCTGTACCAACAGAAGGTTGTTGTCCTGAATATACAGACTCTGGAGGAGGTCCACCATACTTTCTCTGTCCAGTAGTCACATCAAGAGTGTAGCCGGTTCTCTCCAAGAGTGCCTTCAAGTAAGAAACTTAAAATTTTAAAATCATACACAAGTTGAGATAGTTTAAATGCAACTTAATTGACAAGCAGACACTCATAATTTCACTTAAACTGGACTGCTTTAAAACTCCTATGGACAAACAAGCCTACTGCTAGTACTTCAACAAGAAACTTGCAAAGCAATTGTTAGAACTACCAGGTAAAAAAACACTGCTAGAAAATTAAAGATTCACATAATTTTCCCGATTCCTTCATTGTCATACAAAAAAAAAAAAAAAGACCGAGTAATAGAACAGCAAGCTTCCCTTTAATTAGAAAGATCTTAGTCTGAGCTACTTCTTGTTTTGGCATGTCCAATCCTGCAAAACATTTACACACAGAAGTTCCCTCCACTTAATGAGATTACTCATAAATGTGATGTTAAAGAACACATGTTTAAGTGTTTACAGCCCTGAAACACTGCACTGACTACTTCAGGAATCCCACCACTGAAGTGGTCAGCATGCCAGCACAACTGACTGTCACTAGAATCACTGCATAGTTAGACATAATACCAATTGTAAATGCTAGATGAAATTCAGTATGCAAATATATCAGAAACTCCTCTGAAATTAATCTTTGCTATTATTTTCAAAGACAAATCAACTCTGCACACAAAGAAACAGCATGTTAAACAAGGCTGATTATAATCAAAAGTTAGTAGCTTCACAACTGGAAAATTGCAGTTATTTGAAATGCTACAGCCATCAGCAGTAAAAGCTATGCTACTTCAAGTTAGTTAACTGAGTCTTCATACTGTTGCTGTATTATCTGGTACTGACAAAAATTCTTTATCAGTTTTTTTGAATTTATAATTAATGGCACCCCAGCCTCAAAGTCAAGAGAAAAAAAAAGATTTTCTAGTTTCACAAGCTCCAGGGTTATTTACAATATATAGCAAATTCATTTTCCACTTTACACATGGAAAGTTACAGATGAAAGACTCTTTCACTTTTTAAGGTATCAACACATAATTCCACAATTTTCCTTTCCCTAAGCTTTGGTAAAGTTGCTCATGACAGAATTTTAAAATAAATCATAGTATGCTTAACTCTTGAGTCTCTTGCTAGTAGAAAACTTGGTCCAAGAAACAATATGCCAATTACTAAGACAGTTTGGGGTACAGTTTATGAGAACAGTGATTATGTCATAAGAAGTGGGCTAAAACCTAAATCCATTACAATCTGTCTTTCTAGACACGTGGTATCTCTTCCCTAATGTAGGGTTGCTATAGACCTGAACCAAAGGGGAGGAAAAAAAAAAAAAACAAACAAAAAAACCATAACCAACCAATCACCAATAGCTGAAGTTACACATTCTGAACTCAAAGATCTATGCTGACAAGTCTCTGAAAACTTCGAACTGTGAAACAGCAGAACTGTCTTAACCAGACATAAAGCAAACTGTCAGATCTTTTTCACTTTTATATACATTCAGTTCCAGAAATGAACAGTGTATTTTTCCTCTTGAACAGGATGAAATGTAAGATTAAAATGCAAATGACAGTTTTCAAATAATGACAAATAATCTTACACAGCCTTTTTAAGAAAAGAACAGTTCCAAAAGAATCCAGGTACCTGTTGCAACAGCTTTGAAAAAGCACAGGTAGACTGAGTAACTTTTCTTTTAGGCACATACCTTAATCTTTGCCTCATCTGGTCCTTTGCTAGAATCTGCCACCTTGGTCCCCTGTTTCTCCCTCTGCCTGTATGTCTTCATGACTCCACATAAAAAGGCACTTTTGTTCTGCAAAAGATATATCAGCGTTCAGTTCTGAAACATGACAAGCCAGAATATTATTTTACTTTGAACTAACATAGTGCCCATTATACGTATCACCTATGGATCAAGGAAGAGACTTAAGCAAACCTCTGTCAGTCAACTAAAGTTTATCCCTCAATTATTGTATTCTAAATTGCTTAACATTACCTGAACATGTGAGAGATCACTGTCTTTAAATTGCTGAAGCACTGCCAATGCACCTTCTTCATTAAATTCCTTTAAAGCTTCAATAGCTCTTTCATCTAGATCACTATGTGCAACTAGCCCTAGAGAAAAGAAAAAAATTACTAATTATATTTGGGAAGCAATATGTTTAACCACATTTCACACATCTAGCATATTTAAGTGACCCCTAAATCAATCACTGCTTAACATAGATTACTATAGCTAAGGAATCACTTAGCTCCTTCAGAAGTATTTAAGTTTATTCACCTATTTTTTTAAAAAGTATCAAGAAAAGTTGTAATTTGGAGTACTAATTACTGCATTTACATATTCTTTTGATTTCTGTGAAACTCAGATGTTGTACAGGCCAAGTTTATTTTCAATATCCTGAAGATGAACTCAGAAAGATCTATGACTTAGTTTGCCTAGCCATGATACCTTGGTACATTTTAAGACTACTATAAAGCCAGATAAACTGCAACACTGAAAGTTACCACCACAATAAAAAAAAAAAAAATCAAGCTTAAAAAATGCTATCACCAAGTCCAAGAAAACCAGTACAATAGCCTTTGCATCTCTGAGCTCAAAAACTATGTCACAAAGTACCATTTACATGAGAAGATGAATACCAAGGCTTCAGTTACTTAAGAGTTACCTACAACTACTACTGTAAAAAAAATGCACAAAGACCACATCACCTGCTCCTCCTAAAAAAAATCATCTGTTGCCTATTCCAGCTGTTGCTATGGTCACCTGCATACTTTTCCTCCTTCCCACCCCTCAGCCCAATTGGCCTGGCTCACGACATTCCTCTAAAAAATACTACAACAAATTAAATGTAAAACAACCATAGATTTTTTTTTGTAAGACTGCAGTTCCCATACTTTTGGAAACCACAAAAAGTTGCTATTTTAGCCCAAAGACAGCAGAGTCCAATAAGATATAGTAAGTGTGGTTTTGCAAGTTTTACATCTTACCTGCAACGTAAATTTCATCTAGTTTTTCAGCAACTTTCTGTGGTAAACCAGCATCAAGCAATGTCTGGAAATGCTCAGAATGGGTAACTGCAGCAGAAGTATCCATGGGCTCTTCAGTACCATTCCCATTAACATGTTCAGTAGCCATGTTTCCAGGTATCTGTTCAAATGCAATAGGCATCATAATTAAGCTAAGAAGATCTTCAAGTAGAACAATTCAAGTGACAATACACGCAGAAGGCTGCCCTATTCTCACGAAAAAAATAAAATATAAAAATCGTAGACCACCTCCCCGATACTTTTTTCATTTTGGAAGACGCATAAAATTCCTCAAAAGAAGCACTAACACAAAGGAAAGCCCTAACACCACTGCCTAGCGGGAGTGAGGTAGCTTTCACTGCAGGTTTTACACAACCCAGCCAGACACTCTGACTCACCTCCCTCTCTCTGTCTCTCCAACACACTCCCTAAGAGGCTCTGAACAAGTTAGAAAAGGAGCAAGAAGCC